GAGGGACTATTTTAGTTTTTATCTTATGCCCATTTTTTTAGTAGTTTTATTTAGATTAAATTATATATTTGTGTTTTGTTGGATAATGTTTATTATTTTCTAGGTGATATTCTTTTATATTCATGTTGGGATGGGACAAAGCTAAAGTTATTTTAGCAAATACGGTTGTTGTTTCTTTTATTTACGTGTCTACTTATTTATTAAAGATAAATAATATATGTATTTGTATGTTGTTATGAAATTATTTTTGTAGTTATTCTGTTTTGTTCAATTTAAATAATAATATAGATTTTGTATAGTTAGTTTTAGTTGATTTGTGGTTTGTATTTTTATTGCAAGAACTCTGAAACACCCTTCTCATATTCTTCACTAAGACGTTCATTCATCCAGCTTCGATCCATACTATGCTTGTAAAATCATTCATCAGTTCAGTTTTTTAACTATCATAAGGTTAGGCCCTACCCATTTAAAAAAATTATTTTTCAAAATTTGATTAAGACACATGCAAAGAAGTCTACATCATAAATTTGATAAGATTTCGGCAGCATTTCGCATTGGTCTCCAAAATACACGAAATGAGAGTAGTCAATGATGACCACAATCAAATATGCATCCGGAGAACAACACAAATATTGAACCGAAATTTTATCAATCTTATCCATAAACTCCAACGTACATGTATAGCAAAGATGGAAAAATAATTTTCCCAAACTGTCCAATCGGACAATTCAAAATTTGAATACAAACGATTAAAAGATTAATCGTTTGTGTTAATTTCAAACGGGAACTAAGTTTCACTCCATGATTTGATACCTATAATCTAACATGCCAATTATAATAACACAATTATCACATGCATAAACCAATAACACATGCATACCTAAAAGTAAAAAACATGCATACGCAAAAGCCAATAACATGCATACACAAAAACCAATAACATGCATACAAAAAAGTTATCAACAAAGAAACTAACCTTTTTAGCAGATTAAAAAAGCAATGCAGGGAAATGGAGTAATGCAGGCCCAAAAATGTAAGCCAAAAAGAGTCAAAAGCGTCGCCCAAGGACAAGCCAGAAACTGCATCAAAACGTAACAAAAACGAATTTTAATCGGTTCAAATGGAAGATATTTCATCAAAGAGTAATTTAATCAGAGTAAAAATAAATTTAAATGGTCCAAAAGAGAGGAAACGCACCTGGAAATGCAATGTCTTAGAGAGAAAACGCGAGGAAGACGATGAACAGTGAGCGTAACTCCTCACGGGTTCGCGTTGCAGTATATTAGGCTCTAGACGTTGGGTGCTTGGGGGGTCTGACGTCTATAATAGTATAGACGTCGGGACCCTAACTAATATGACGTCTTTCTGATTTAAAAATTCATATTCACGGGGATTATGGGCGTCGGTTTAGAGGGGCCCCGACGTCTAGGTGAACGTTTCACCTACCCTATCAGCCATCTAGACGTTCGTTAGGAGGGGCCCTGACGTCTATAATATTGTAGACGTCGGGGCCCCTCCTAATGGACGTCTATATGGCTGAAAAAAATACTTCTCACCTACCTCTGTCAGCCATATAGACGTCCATTAGGAGGGGCCCCGACGTCTACAATATTATAGACGTCGGGGCCCTCCTAACGGGCGTCTAGATGGCTGAAAAAATAACTTCTCACCTACCCTGTCAACCATATAGACGTCCGTTAGGAGGGGCCCAATGTCTATAATATTATAGACGTCGGGGTCCCTCCTAACGAACGTCTATATGCCCACTTATTTACGAAAATGCCACTAGTCAATAATTACGTTAGTTGTTTGGTGGACCGACATTACGGGATGACGTTAAAGACTAATTATGCACTAGAGATATCAACATTATAATATTTCTTTCACAAATTCACACATTAAATAACCTAGCAATTTTCAAATCATATCTTTCGGCTATCAATCTCCACATATCCCATCAAAATTAACCCTAAAAGTCAAAAACTATCTCTGGACAGTTCAAGAAAATTATCATATCAAATAAATTTACTCAAGAGTTAAAACTTTAAATATTTAACTTCCATTACCTTAAAGAAATGTGAACTTACTTATTAGATGAAATTACTTATATATGAAATTGATCAATGATCTTAGATCTTCAAGAAAAAATAGAATGAGATCAAATTTTGAGAAAAAAAAAAGGGAATGAAAAGAATAACCTTAAGTTTTAGAAAGAAGAAAAAGAGTTTTAGAAAAAAAAAAAAGCCATTTAGGATTCTCACAATTTTTAAATAATAAGAGTGACATTATAAAAGAAAAATTAGTAAAAAATAAATAATATTCTAATATTTATTTAAAACAACAGAATGTACAATTATTTTTACAATAAAACTTTAAAATATTATATTAAAAATAAATTAAACAATATTATTTAAACTTCTAAATAAAAATAATTGATGTGTATATGAATTAGTTAATATATTTATATTAAATATAGAAATATATAATATATATATATATAATATATATATATATATATATATATATATTATAGGGGTGTTGTAACGCGCGTACGCCTGTTTTTCATTGGTACATTTTAGCAATGTGTACCGGATTTTAGTAGACAAAAATACCCTTATATATCATGGATTCTAAGTTTTAAGATTAAGGGTATTTTAATAATTTTCATTCTCAAAACTAAAAAAAAAAAGAAAACCCCCCAAACCCTTACTCACCTTCTCATTCCTCTCAATCATTTTTGTCTTTCACTCTCTCACTCCAACCTTTTCTCTGGCATCCCTACTGTAGCCCAATTGAAAAAATCAGAAACACTTGCCTTTGTAAAGAGTTGAGTCATTGACATATCACCTTCAGGCAAAGGTTCATTCAAGATCTCTTCAATTCACCATCTTCACTAACCCTCTAATTCATTCATCTGATGTGTTGAATCATCATCTTAAAAAAACCCTTCAGGCCCATTCCAATTCTTTCGGAGTCATATCTTGTGAAATTAGATAAAATTATACGACAAAAATTACTCATTATAAATCATTTTTTTTGTAAGAAATTGTTTAACAACGAGTGTTTCTGATTTTTTTTCCTTTAGGCCAATACCAATTCTTTGATGTCATTAGCTTGTGAAAATTAGATAAAATTAGATAAAGACAAAAATTATAAAATAAAAACTCATTATAAAATCATTGTTTGTAAGAAATTGTTTAACAAGGCGAGTATTTCTGATTTTTTCAGGTAATTACCAATTCCTTTATGCTTGTGAAAATGGATAAAATTAATAAGACAAAAATTATAAGATGAAAACTCATTATAAAATCATTTTTTGTAAATTGTTTAACGGCAAGTGTTTCTGATTTTTTCAATTGGGGCTACAGTAAAGATGACAGAGAAAGAAAAAATTGGAGTAGAGAGATGAAAGCAAAGGATTGAGAGGAAATGAAGAGGTGAGTAAGGGTTTTGGGGGTTTCTTTTTTTTTTTAAGTTTTGAGAATGAAATTATTAAAATATCCTTAACCTTAAAACTTAGATCCATGATATATAAGGGTATTTTTGTCTACTAAAATGCGGTACACATTCCTAAAAATGTACAAACTGAAAAACAGGCGTTACGCGCGTTAGCAAACCCCATAATATATATATATATAAAAAAAAAAAATATAAAAAAAGACATATAATATATATAATATATATATAAAACAAATAACAAGAATCTTATTATATATATATATATATATATATATATTTCACACTCCACTTCGATTTCCCTCTTAATCCTTTTTCCCCATACTTTTATAATTTTTCTATTTGAGATATGTAAATTTTACCTGAATTTTATTGCATTCCAATTAAATTTTAGTTCAATTGTTCATATAAAATACTTTTATCAAAATTTATTTTCGTGTGCTAGTTATATTTTATTTCTGTTTTTCATTCTAAAAAGTATTTTCGGAAAAGTAAGTAAATTTTAGATAGTTCCAAAAGGTGAGAATTGTTTCAATTAATAATTTCGTTTTCTTTTTCAGTAAAAGGGAAAAAAATGTTTTAAAGGATGAGTTAATTGGATATTTTAGAGAGAGAAAAAAATTGAAGCCAAAATAATTTCAATACAGAATAAGGGAAAAGGTGGTGAAATTAGAAATATGGGAAGTGTAATAGTAAAACTCCTAAAGTAACAAAACGGGCCACATTGGAAGGCCATAAGTTGAAATAGGCGCAAAAAGGTAACCCTAGTTACATCACGTATTTTATATATAAATATAAAGGTTTAATAGCCAATTTAGTCCCCACTTTGGTTGAAAAATCTCAATTTAGTCCCTCGTTATAAAAGTGTTTTACATTAGTCCTAACTTTTAAAATAGTGGGTCAGATTGGTCCCTTTCGTTAAATATAAGTTAATGAAATTAATGGATGATGATGTGACACAGCTTAAAGCTGATGTGTTAGATTGGTCCCTCATTAGCTTTAAGTTGTGTCACATCATCATCCATTAATTTTGTTAACTTATATTTAATAGAAAGGACCAATCTGACCCACTATTTTAAAAGTTAGGACTAATTCAAAACACTTTTATAACGAGGACTAAATTGAGATTTTTCAACCAAAGTGAGGATTAAATTGGCTATTAAACCAAATATAAACAGCATATCCAGTGATCTTCCTCTGTTCTTTGTCGAAATATCTGTTCTCTATTTGATTTTCAATTATTGCTTACTTCTTTTGCCTCTTTTCTTTCTATCTTCTTCAATCTTTTTTCATTTTCTTGATCTAAATTATGATTTAATGGTTTTTGGAAGGCGATGATGGTAAGAACTACCTATTTTATGAGGGAATTGAGAATTTTCCCTTGTGATTATAAATCTACCAATGGATCCTTCTGAGCCTTCAGCACTTTTGATGTTTTTCTTTTGATGTTTTTCTTTTTTTTTTCAAGATTTATTTGGGATAGTTAACTGGTATTACAGATGAGAGGATTGAGTGTGATGGTGTGAGGTGACTGATTAGAGCGCCATTGAAGTGATGATACTTTTTCTGAATTTAATGAATGTGGATTTATTCAATCAGACTACAATTATCTGATCAATGGCTCTTTTTCCGTTACTCTATAGGAATGGAGAAAAAATACATTGTTTTTCGTGAATCATGATTCTCGAATAAGGAAGGAAATTTTTCTTTTATGTTTCTTTAAAAACAAAGGAAGTTTTAATTGACCAATTTATTAGATATAATATTTCTAAGTTCGTATTTCATACTCCTTGTTTAATCTATTCAATATAGAATAATGAATTGAGTTCGCATTTTGGATAAGTCAAATCTGATAATCTATCTAACAACATTCATACAAAGTATGAGCTGAATCTTTTATCTCTTAGTTAAGAGGATTTAAGTGGTGTGAAGAGACGCTCAAGTCACCGAAAACTCTTTTTGGTTAGAATTAACATAAAATTACAAAATTCTATGTCTATCATAATTATGGTTTTCAATGTTGCAATCCAAAAGAAAGCCCACTTATTTAATAAGTCACTGCCAAAATATAAACTTTTAAAACCACAAGACCATTAAGTACATCTCATCCATAGATCAAATAAGGTATAATCATTGGTCCCAATTTTGGTTGGGAATGTTCGAAATGGTCCCAATTTTTTTTTTGTTATTTAATGTTGTTCTAAAGAATGTAATTTTTGTTTAATTTAGTTCTTTTTGCAGACGTCGTTTAAATAGTTAATTCTTGTGGTTTGCAGATTTGGGGTTTGCGAGGATGATGGAGGTGTATGCCGCGACGGCGTGTTGAAGAAGGGAGAGTGGTAGTAGTAGCGGCGGCCATGGAGATTCCACTGTTGGTTATGAATGTTGTAGATCTGTGCTTGTGATTGCAGGATTTCTGATGCAAATGAGGTGTAAGGGAAAGCTTGCTTATGCGCAGCGAGAAGAAACGAAGATAGGATCTTGCCCCTTTTATTCGCGGCGGCTCGTGGCGGCGCGATGGTGCTTGCAAGAATGACCACTTCAATCTGATTTCTGGGAATGATTTGCAGGGGGTGAATGGAGACAGTGCGCGCGAGTGGAGGAGACTGATGGAGAACACGCGATTCTGTTTCACGTTTTTGCGTTCTGGGTTTGTGAGTCAATGGAGGATTCGCGGTGGTTGTTAGGTTTGTTGTTTTTCTGATTACAGGTTCAGTGATTGTGGATGGAGAAGATGAAATCTAGTGCCGTCAAAATGGGTTGAAACCCGTGAGCCAACCTGGCTCACCACGGGTTTGAGCCAGGTTGGGTTGGAAAAAAATGTAAAATTTTTTATGCGAGTCAATTTTGACCCGGCTCACATGGGTTAAACCTGTGGTGGGTCGGGTTGGCTTACCAACCCACCTATTTTTTTTAATTAAATCAAATTAATTAAATTAATTATTCAAATTCTATTTTTTTTATTGAAATCAAATTAATTAAATTAATTATTCAAAACGCACAACCTTTACTTAGCAACAAAGTCTTTCCAAAAGTTTTACTTAAATCTTTATTTAGATGAAGGGAATCTTGATACAAAGTGTTTTTATAAGTTGGATGTATTAAGTTATTGGAGGGATCGTCAAGATCGTTATCCAAACTTGTCTAAGATGGCTTGTGATGTTCTTAGCATTCCAATCACTATAGTTGCTAGTGAGTCTGCCTTTACTCTTAGTTCTCATGTGTTAACCAAATATCGTTCATCCATTCTTCCAAAGAATGTTGAGGCACTTATTTTAACTCAAAACTGGTTGCATGGTTTTGAACTAACAGGTAACATTATTGTTATTCTCATATGTCTTTAATTATTTATTACTTTGTGTTTCAATATTATTAGTTAACACTATTTTTTATTGTATTGTAGATAAAAATAAAGAAGAAGATGCTTCAAGAGAGCATAATACTATGGATTTATTCATTCAGGACTCCAATTTAATAGATGGATAATATTATAGATTGTATAATTCAGGAATATATCATTTGTTTTATCTTGTTTTTAGACCTATCTACAAGCATGACAGTTTTATCTTGTGCTATATATTTTTGTTAACGACTATATGTAGTTTATTGGTCAAACGGTTATGTATGTCTCATTAAACTAAATTGGTAAAATTTTATGCTTCATAGTTTAAAATATATATAACAATATTTTTCTTTTGTTTTATTTTCTTTTATATCAATTGATCCAATTATAATTGTTTCAATTTGATCGATCAAAGTAACATGTTATAAGAATCTCAGAAGAAGAGAGTGAAAAAGAAGTTAATTAAGTGAGCCAAGGAGCCAACTCGTTTAACCCACCAATCCCTGGTGGGTCAAGTTGGGTCGAGCCGAGTTACCCGTTTTAACAGCTCTAATGAAATCGCTATTTGGTGGAGGACCTCGCGACTGACGGTGAGTTTGATGGTGGTGGAGAATGGCAGCCTGCTAAGGGTTTCATGGTGGAGATGGAAGTCGAGGAAGACGTTGAAGATGATGATGGAGGACTCGCGACTTTGGCGTTCTCGTTTTGTATTGGTGACTGTGGTGGCTACCGACGTCTATGTTGGTGAGGATGATGGGTGGTGGTCCGATGTTGGGGTTTGGTGGTCGTCTAGTGACGACACAGTTTCATGGTGACGACACAACGTGACTGACGGTGGCATTGGCTAGGTTAGGGAACTAGGGTTTCTGTGGAGAAGATGATGTGTCAACGATTTCACTCTGTAATTGCACATCTGGACATCTGGCCGTTAACGATTTAAACGACATTTACAAAAAGAACCAAATTGAACACAAATTACATTCTTTAGGACAACATTAAACAGAAAAAAAAATTGAGACCATTTCGAACATTCCCAACCAAAATAGGTATTATAACATAAAATAATAATACTCTTTTACGACGTTATAGATTTAGATCCTACGAAAAAATGTCAATTTTAGTAATTGAATAACAGATTTCATGTTTCTTGAGGTAATATAGTCTAAAATAATAGCGGTAATAAAAGTAAAATAATAGCAGTAATAAAAGTAAAATAATGCTTCCAATTTTAGAAAGAACCTATATAACAAAATTACGATTTTATAAAACTAGAGAAAATCTAAAATTATTCAGGCCAAACTGACAGTATTTAATTGAGAAAACTATAGAAAAAAAATAGATAATATAATAGTGACTTAACATATTCAAACATTAATTTACAATCAACTTGATTAAAAGACTGGGTTTGGATTAAGGGCAGACCATGCCATTAGTGGCTTGTATAACGTGAACAACGCAATTCATAACATTGTCTTTTTCTCATTATTCCCACATTTCATAAAATGTCTATACTTCTTTTGTGTATATATAATAAAATGTCCAAAAGAAATTACACAAAATGCGATATATCATTTTCGTCTTTGCCTAAACCACTGCATAGGCATCATAAAATGGATGAAATTGGTCAATAGATGTTAGGAACCCAATAAATCCAAAGCTAAAAAGCAGGAGGTATTGCAAAAAATATCTAATGCTGATCAACACTGCAGACGGAAAAGTTTTAGGTTTTGATGAAACTTTGGACTTACACGGTGCTAATAAAGGAACAAATCTGCCATTAAACAACTGTACTCCAAGAGGTTCGTTATTTAGCCACATTCAGTAATTTTGCAGGGCTATGAGGTCTCTTCACCTTTCCACCTCCTGAGAAATTCTCGAAGTCATTGGCTGGTATGTTATCAGACTAGATACCAGAGCTATATTGCAATAATCTATTTAACTTAAGTCATAGTAAAAAGAGGCGTGGAGTACCAAAAAAATTGGCTTTCCATAACCAATGGAGATGGTCCTAAGTATGACTGATCTGTGGGAATGGTTGCCCCAAACGCAGCTGAATGCAAACATGAATTGTATTCGAGACGGCCTTCAAAATCTCTTTCTCTGCTTGCTGTGCCATTTCCATTGCATGCCTGTGGATAAATAAACATAAGTCCCCACAAGAGACTGAACAAATTCACAACCAAACTGACTAAAAGTGAGACGAGAGAAATTACCGAATTAGGATATCATGTGGCATGGAAACCTCAATTTGAAGAACTAACTTGCTTTGAAACGTGTGGCGAGTTATGCGCTCAACTAGCATCTGAAACCCGCGAGAGACAATTAAATATTGAATACACAAGTAATTTTAAACCTGTCTTTAAAATTCAACAGTACTTCCATTAAAAACGAAAGCGTCTTTCAGCCACCTTCAATAAATATTGAAACAGAAAAACTTGACAAGACACTCATACTACTAAGAGAACCGCAACCACCTAATTCCCTAAATTTTATGGCTAAGAGAACATGAATAATTGCAGAATAATCCGTTTACATTGAACCAATAAAATCAAAGAATCCCAAAATAGAGGAAAGACTCACATAAAATTACAACTAAAACCTACTTTGATTGTCTTCTGCTTTTCGCATACAAAATGTTACCTGAGGGAATTTGGATGAGATGATGTCAGAAACAATTTCTTTAATGTTATCATCCTCAGCAGGAACAATACTCTGCTGGTCCATGTCTGCGCTCCAACTATCTTGCTGATCTATTGTGCAGGGAGAAGCATATGACATTGCAGGATCTACAAAAGACAAATAAGAATAGACAAATTTAGAGTTAAAAGATGCAAAATAGCAGAACACCTTCACTACCGAAAAAGAAAAGTCGTTTAGATTTTTAAATTTAAGAAACCCCGTTACAATACGTCACTGGAAATAACTGAATTTAAGTTGCTCTAAGGCTGCAATTTTAAAATATAGCCCGCATGAATAGAAAATTAGGCATATTTTGTCATGCACCGAACTATGGTGGGTGAAATAATATAGAATGAAATGGACCAACGGTGACAGACTTAATCTTCATTATGACATTCATAACAGGCTGAAGCATTTTCTATCCATACAATGGTCCAGTACCAGTGCCAAACAGTTTGCATGAAAGTGCTGAAAGAGAGACAACTGTGTTGGTTCATAAGAACCCAAGATACTGTTTTTCAGCTTTGAACAACGGCTAAAATAAGGGTGCATAGCAGAGATGGGTCAACTTAAAATCGAAGGAGATAATAATTTAGTG